ATACATACATACATACATACATACATACATACATACATACATACATACATACATACATACATACATACATACATACATACATACATACAGTACATGTATAGATATACGTACAGTACACATATACACACATTTATACATATCCATACTTACATATACCCTCAATGACCGTCTGAAACCCCAGTATCTGAACCCCAGTTTGTTTGCGGTTGTGAGCATGCATGTTCATACAAGATTTTTCCAATGGAATATTTAATAGTGACTGTGGAGACCCAAAGACCTGACCCCCAATACCTGAAGCAGACATAAGGGAGACCAGTGCCAAAGACCCCGAGAGTGACCCCAAGCACGGAGCCCCCAGGGGCACCAGTGCAGAAAGAGCTGCACACCTGCCCTCCCCAGAGTGGACCATAGGAGAGATGCAGAAGAGCCCCCCCCCAGTGACCTCACGCAGTAATCCCCCGGGGTCAACAGCGATGAGCTCACAGGCCCCGCCAGCACCTGCCACGCTGGAGCAGATCCAGGCATGGACACAGGCCCCTAGGGCACACCACCCCCAGGCTAAGGCCTGATAGGGCCAGAGGACCCAGGCCCCACCATGCAGCCACAGGCTGAGCCAGCACACGCCCAAGCGCCCAGCCCCAGACATTGAGGGCCACCAGTGCACCAGCGGGCAGAGGCGCAGCCCTCCAGAGGGCAGAGTGGCAGGGGCCTAAGCCTACCACCAGCAGTTGGCCCCCAAGTGAACCAGAGGAGGGGGCAACCCAAGACCCAGCCTGGCACACATCCAATCATAAACAGACACAATCACATAATCCCACCTTCATCCTCACACCCACTCATTCAAAGACACACAAGATGGACGCAATACTCCAATCAAGGTCCCCATATATTCTCTATACCCCCCCCAGGTCCGGGACATGCACCTGCCCCTGATGGAGGGCAGCCCACATCCAGACCCAGGAGGTAGACTCATTCATTCTGGGGTGGAAAGGAGCAGACAGTCTAAGCCCAGCTCGGACCGCACCGCACCAGGTCGACCGGTCAGTCCCTCCGCCACAGAGAAGCCACGCCCCCAACCACCCCCACACACCGCCAACAGCCAAGTGCGCACCCCCCACCAACCACCCACCGGACTCCAGCAGCCACCTCGGCCAGCGGGCCAACCTCGACAACCAGGAGCCATACCCCAGGAATCCAAATGGCCCCAGGGAAGTCAGAGCGCCAGCCCCGTCCCTGGCACCCCACCCCCGGCCACTAGCCCACCCACAGCCCAGGCTCCCACCAGATGGTCTGCCCCTGCTCCASACCCCATCCCTAAATGGTAATTGGGGAAGAGGGGAGTGAAAAAGATCCCCCCCACACACACCTCCACCCTCAGATGTGCCGTTGATGCGTCTTGTTCTATAGTGCAATTAAAATGGGGAAGAAGAAGGGGCAGAGGTCGGCACGGTGCCAGTTTCCCCCCCACCCCAACTCTAACCTAAAAAAACTAAATGTCTACAAGCAACAATTGGGAGTGGGCACAGGCATCAGTGGTGGGAGTATTTCATCCAGCCCCTTGCATGCCATAAATGCCCACCCCCAAGTCTCTATATGTAAATGTCATGAGGATGTTATAAGTGAATGTCTATGGTGTACAGTAAAACTGGGGCCCAGGTGGTTATGGGAAACAGAGATATAAAATTGTTGCTCCTTGTAACGCACCTGCACCCCAAAAGCCCTACATGAGTGGAGTTGAAAAATGAAGAGGGTGCAGGTATGTGGCAAGGGATGGGGAGAAAAAATGACTGGGGCAGGGGCAAAATTCTCCCACAGAGAGTCAGCTCCCCCACTGACCCCGGTAGACACCCCCCGTTCCCCAAGACCCACCCAGGGAGTGAGGCCCCAATACCTCTTCCTCCAGACAGACCGCCAGGCCCAGGGAGCTCTAGACCATGGCCGAACAGAGCCCAGAGGACTGCCAGAAACCGGGACCAACATTCCACCCACCCCAGAACCATCCAAACCCCCAAGACCCAACCCCCAGCTCCATAGCCAGCCCACAACCCAAGAAAGCCACCGAACTCCAGCCAGAAAGATTTCGCCGAGAGTCCCCACCCAGCTGCAGACAGCATGAGGATGCCACCGAGAGCGAACCTCCCCCACAACAAAGGAGCCAACCAGCCGACCCAGCACAGCCCCGGGCTGCCACCATAGGCCATCTACTCTGCTCCCACCCCAGAAGAAATGCTACACCCACCCTAACATTCAGACAACTAGACACCCAGGCTGAGTTAACCTGCCCCCTCCCACGGGCCACCGGCCCCGCTCCCAGCCAGCCCAACCCCCCAGCCTCTGAGACTCGCAGCCCACCAGCGCACCAAAGGCCCCCAGCCCCGAGCTGAGCACTAGAGCACAAACYGGCCTAGAGCTCCAGCAACGTGCCCGCCAGGGCCCAACATCCCCAGCCCCACAGCCCAGGGATGGCATGACCCCAGAACCCCAGACACTCTACGCCCACCCCAGAACAGCCAGGTCACCGGGTCAGTGACCCATGACCGCCACTACAGASCACATGAGGGCCTGCATGCAGCCACCAGAAGCCATCCCCCAGAATCACCAAGCCCCCACCCAAGGGTGAGGGCCGCGGACCCCCAACAAGGAACCTTCAGTGGCCCAGCCCCCAAGGCCCCCCCGATGTCCCGACCCCCGATACCCCCTCACATCAGCCCCAATGACCCATAAGGCCCAATCCAAGGACCCCCACCCCCACTATGTGGTTAAACCGATCAAAGGAGCCCAGAGAGATTGATCTGATGTGGCGGCAGAGGCCTTTTACTTTTATTGCGACCCGGTTGCACAGGGACGTGAGAATTCCCTACTTACAAGTTGTCCATTTAAGCTGGAACGCTCCTTCCAGTGAGAATTTCCTGTTGTAAAGTTCCAAATTCAAGATGGCAGCTGCTCACCACAGCCCAACTCTTACTTTTAATAGTATTTCTGTATTATTTATTTCACATTTAGTCAGTCTTACATGTAGTACTCTTCAGTGTTTATGTGTTAAACCACTGTTTCTATGCTGGAAATGCCACGTAGAGCTCAGTCAGTGTTTGTTAGAGGTGCTCAGCTGTAGCAATGAGATATGTCCCATTTCATGTTTAGTACAACTGGCCCTTTGAGGGCCACCTTAACGCTATGTGGCCCTTGGTGAAAATGAGTTTGTCACCCGTTTCTGACCAAACATACAGAACAATTTATTTTTCTATAAAATATACAGATAACATTTAAAGTAGTTAGCAAAACTCACAATTTCAGTACATAAAGACTCACAGAGCTGTGTACAATTCACTTCTGACAGAAGACTTAAATTTTACAAAAAGCTTTTTACAAAGCAAACATTCATTTCAAAAGCAGCAGTTTTATCACCACCTAAGTTGAAAACTAATAGGTTTGGCACTTATTTTAAACGTAAATGAGTTATTCACTCATTCATTGCTGCTTTTGCACACCTTTACAACCAAATTCTCACATGCAGGACACAAAGGTAGTCAAATGGAAGTGGCACATTCAGCCTCTTTGGCTGCAGAACATTGAAACACTGAACAGCCACCTTGAATGCAGACTTTTTAAAAAAGTTTTATCTGAAATCTTAGTTTATGTCTATCTGACATGGGTTTGTCCCCATTTTCAGTGCTTTTGTGTATAGTCTCAAGAAGTCTTTGTACAGAGGTGCACAGCTGAGCCATGCCTCGCCGAAATGGATGGACCCAGTTAGAAGGTACTCGTCCTGTCCYGGAAGCCTGCTACAATGTCTGGGAATGTTCATGCGTCCACTCCAGCCCCGACCTCTGACTCCACCCCAAACGAACACACCGCTCTTCTGGTGAAACAGCCGACTGAGGGTCACCACAAGCAGGGTGTGCTTGTTTGTTGATGCCACCCCTCGAAACATACCACTGCCAGCTACACAGATGGAACAGGTGAACAGAAGGGAAAGAGACAGAAATTAACAAAATATAAAATACTGTATACAGTGGGGTGTGAAAGTTTGGGCAGCCTTGTTAATTTTCCTGATTTACCTTTATAAATCATTGATTGTTTGGATTAAAAAATCTGTTAAATGTATCATATAGAGCAGTTTTTCCCCAAGGTGGGGTCGGGACCCAAAGTGGGGTCCCGAAACATCAAGGTGGGGTCCTGAAAATATTTTCTGAATTAATGACATTTTTGCCTTAGTTGTTACAAAGGAGTGAGATTAGTATATTTAAAATGGATAAATGTAGTATAAAAATATTGTTACTATGCCCATGTTTAGTTGACCTGATACAAATGTTTATCATCCAAAAAYAGTTGGGGGCACAGGTCTCTGCTACTGTTATTTTGTGGGTCAAAAGCTGAAAAGTTTGGGAACCASTGCACTTTGGTTCCCAAAGTTGGGCTTTGGACCCAATTATGGGTCATGAAGCACCTTGGATAATCTCCAGAAAWCAATTTAATGGGTAATAAAATAATTGCTGATGTAATATTTCCCTATAATTATTACAAAAACACAAAATAAGTATAAATAGGTATTTATATTTGTGTACAAACTGTTTAGATCGTCAAAAGGCCTGTAGTTTTAGGGTTATTAATGAAGTTCGTGTACTCAGACCAGTAATATTTGGGGTCACAAGTTTTTGCCCTGGGTATTTTGTGGGTCAGAAGATAAAAAGTTTGGGAACCACTGATATAGAGGACAAACACAGTGATATTTGAGAAGTGAAATGAAGTTTAAATGATTTACAGAAAGTGTGCAATAATTGGTTAAACAAAATTAGGCAGGTGCATAAATTTGGGCACCAAAAAAATAAAAATAAAAAACCTTAACTCAATATTTAGTAGATCCTACTTTCACAGAAATAACGTTGTCTAAATGCTCCCTATAGCTTCTAATGAGAGTCTGGATTGCGGCAAAAGGTATTTTAGACCATTCTTCTTTACAAAACATCTCTAGTTTATTCAGGTTTGATGGTTTCTGAGAATGGACAGCTCTCTTTAAGTGACACCACAGATGTTCAACAATATTCAGGTCTGTGGACTGAGATGGMCATTCCAGAACGTTGTACTTGTTCCTCTGCATGAAGGTCTTAGTAAATTTTGAGCATTGTTTAGGGTGGTTGTCTTGTTGGAAGATGCAGCTTCAGCAGCTTCAGCTTTGTCACTGATTCCTGGACATTGGTCTCCAGAATCTGCTGAYATTGGTTGGAATCCATGCGTCCCTCAACTTTAACAAGATTCCCAGTCCCTGTACTGGTCACACAGGCCCACAGCATGATGGAACCACCACCACATTTTACTGTAATGAAGGAAATTGTGTAACTGATTATTAGAATATTAGATGCAGTATTGTATTTTATACTTTCTGATCATTGCAGCCTTTAAGTTTAACGATAAGATAAGATAAGATAAGATAAGATAAGATAAGATAAGATAAGATAAGATAGAACTTTATTGATCCCACAGTGGGGAAATTTGAACATTACAAC